CTGGCGCAGGCCAGTGTGGCCAGGCCGGCGCTGGAGCGGCCGGCTGCTGTAGCGCCGGGCAGCCGCCGGCGAGCTCGGCGGGCACCGAGTACCACGGAAGCGCCGGCGGCCCGGAGGGCGCAGGCGGCGGGGGCGGCTGTGGCGGCCCGTACGGGCTGGCCAGGAAGAGCCGGATGCCCTGGACCGCGACGACCAAGTCGTTGAGGATCCCCGCCATGACCTCCGGGGTGTAGTTGGCCGGTAGGGTTGATGGCGGCGTAGCGGTGATGGGGGCCGGCAGATGGCCGGGTGACGCGCCGGGGACGAGGTCCAGCGGTGCGGACGGGAGGACCAGCGGCCCCGTGGCGAGGGGCGCTGACGCGACGGTGGTGGTGGTTGTGGATGCGGCGGCGGTGGTGGTCATGGGCAGCGACGACGATGGTGGTGAGGATTACATGGTCGAACCAGAGTTGGCTGGTACCAAGGTGTTAGGAGCTAGGGTTCTAGGGCGGAGATTATAGGGAAAGGAGGGAGCAGGGCGAGGGCTGGAGCGCGGCGGCCGGCGGCGAGGCGCCGTCCTTGCGGCTGAGCGGCGGCGGTGCAGGAGAGAGACGGCTAGGGTTTAGGGTTCCGGCTCCTCTGGGAGCCGGGCAATAGAATAGTCTTATTGCTTGATTCTCAAAATAGTCTTACAACTTGTATATATAACCATAATCTGAAAATAAACTAAGATAACTTGGGCCTTAAGCCTGCCCAGTGGGCCCCCGACGGCCATAGACCTGGCCGGTCATAACAAGACAGATAATAACTGGAAAACATGTGGGAGAAAAGGTATATATTCCAAGAATAGTCATGTCACCAACAGAACCAGCATGGCCATTTGCTCTAAAAAGGAGACAATATCCTATATCAGTTTGCTTTGCTATGACTATCAACAAAAGCCATGGCCAATCTCTGAACAAAGTAGGACTAGATCTACCCAAACAAGTTTTCACGCATGGACATTTATATGTAGCCTTCTCAAGAGTAACAAAAAGGGTGGGACTGCGGGTAATGGTAAATGATGAAAATAACAATGAGGATGATGTGGTCAAGAACATATAGTCTATACAGAAATATTCTAAAGGTATGAACAAGTTACACAATTTCAACATGATGTTTCTTTCACTAGATGAGGCCACTGGACTATTATGTAAGAATTACATAAACTTACTACACAGCAAAATCTCTTAGACATAAAGTCTTACTTAACGATGCTAACATGATATGGAAGGTCGAATATGGTGTACTACCCTGCCAGAGTAATGCAAACATGCAGCAATAGGTGGAAATAGTTCATTACCAAACGTCAAAAATCTATATTTTGTGATACTTGATTGAGACGTGGGGAGTTTGAGAAACTAATAGTGAGAGCATCTGGTCATTGTTATATTTCATATTCAGCTATTATCTATTATTTTTTGTTGGTGAAATATTGTGAAAATGCATCAACAATTGAAAATATTTAATTACTACCAAACATCAACAAACTATATCATGCGATGTCTTATTCTTCAAGCTTACTATTGCATGCAAACCAATAGTGAGAGCATTAGGAAATAATTATAATTCACATGTACAATTCAATCAGACCTGTTTTCATATTCAATTATTATAAATTCATTATTCTCTGGGAAATGTTTAAACATCAATTATTTCGCCAACTGTACTAATTATTTCTGAAGTTGTTGAATATTAATAGGGGTAGGGGGCTAACACTGCCAATGTCGGTCCCAAGCCCGGAAAAAGGTGGAGGGGACATAAACATATTAACACTAAACCTTAAGATGTACTCCCTCCGTCCCATAATATACTATCATCAAGCAAATCAAAAACAAGAGAAGACAGTATATGTATAGTACTAATTTGCATTGGTATGTCTGCTCAAACATATACTTACTTTTTCAAATGTTGACTAACTTCTTAATATCTACTTTGTACCTCATTAAACACTTATAGAGAACTTAAAAAAAGAATCAAATGTTCTTACAAAATTTGAGGAAAAAATGCTGAAATATTTACCACCAACATGCATTTCCTTAATAAAATTATATTTTTTAAATGGCGCAACACAGAAAAAGGTTAAGACAAAAAGGAAAATATGACAGTCAGGAAAAGAAAAATAAGGACCTGCAGTTCAACTTCGAAGACGGTTGCCGCTGTGGAGGATGAGGTTGATGTGTCGAGCTGCCTCGAGCGGAAATTGCGATGATGCCTCTGGCTTGCGCGCTTGGGGAAGAAAACGTAGCCACCTTCCTAATACTAAAGCTGTTTCCAAGAGAGTTGCAAGATGAAAACCACGACCAAATCAAATGCACGGACGACAACATCAACAGCAGCATGCAGATCGATGATCTCGCCTCCTCCCTAGCGCAGCAGATCCTTGGGCGCTGCTACCCACTATTCAGGAAGCGCCAGTCACTAGGACCACAAATCAACAGATTCAACAGCACACAAAGACCATGGGTTGGTGGATTCACAAGAAAAGGAAGAGGAACCATATGTTACATGTACGAGAGCTTGAGGATTTGCTGGCCGAGCTCAACAGTGCCGCCTTGCTGATGCACCTCAGGCTGGACGCGCCTATCCTCAATGCAGCGAATCAAGAGAGCTAGCTGATGGAAGGTATCCATCAGCAACAAATTTTGAGTGAGAAGAAAAAATAAGAGAGGAGAAAGGGGATCGGGCAGGAACATGCTTGCTTGTGTGAGGAAAGAAGAACGGACAAGTCTAGCTAGAAGATTACAGAATGGGGAAGAGTAGTACTGGTGGGACACATGCCATGGGACCAATTACGTATTGTGGGCGACACTGTGAGAGAAAACTATTTAATGTGAAAATCTAAGACGCCATTTGTTCTACTGAGTGCACGTCCATGAAAGTAAATACCAACAAACTTTTTATGGATATGTATAGTATATAAATAAAATATATAAATAAAATAAACCATTTACACTGCAAAAATCACTAAATAAAATATGTCAATATTGCAGAGCATTAGTGACTAAATCTATGACTACACGGAAACAATGAGAACATGTAGAAAAAATATACAAATTTAATTTAAAAAATTCAACCGATATAAAACTATAGTTAGATGGCATGCGTAAATACCAAGGAAAGGATCAACGAATAACACATATTTAAAAAACAAAACATAACAAAGGCAAAATTACGTCCGCAAAAGTATTATGAAATTGTCATCACGTTTTATTTCATTTTTCCTTTGATTAAAGAACAAAACGGTCACCCTTGGTACAGTTGCGCATGTCTATGGAAACAAATACCCCCGTCTCAAAATATAAGACATTTTTTCATAGCATAAAAGAATAATTAAATAAAATAAACAATAAATAAATATGCCAATCTTGCGCAACGTTAGCATATTTCTATTTGAAGAAAAAACTAAGCAACATGCGAAAAAGGATAGTAAATATATACAAATATAATTTGAAGAATGTAATGGAACGTAAGTCTACAATATAAAAATACAATTTCAAGAATGTAGTCGACCATAAAACTATAATACTACTACATGCATAATTAGCAACGAAAGGATGAACGGAAAACACATATATCCATATATCAATAAAAATAACAAAACATACCAAAGGAAAAAGGTTTAAAAAATTCTAATAATTAAAATGTTACCACAATTTTATTCATTTTTTCTTGGAAGAAAATAAAATACAATATTCGTCAAATCCTAGCCCGCGCATAGAGCGGGCCACTTTGCTAGTTGTGACAAAAGCACGTATCATCATAGATGTGGTGGGCTCCTACTTGTATGAAAAAAATCATGATAGAACATGGGTTTTTCGTCCTGGGCGGGCCAGGATGCACGTGCATGACATTATTTGGGTCGTCTATGATGGAAAAAGTCATGGTAGAAGCGAGGGCGAGAAAAATATCAGAGAGTTCCTGGTTACGGTGGATGGTCGGGGCCGAACGATGCACGAAGGTTTGTGCGTTTCTCTCATACACGTACGTGCATGTGTGGAGGCATTGGGCTCTAACTGAACCTGAGCGAGGTGTTCGCTTACTGAACCCGAGCGATTGCACTAGCTACGCTACTGAACTCGAGCGATCGATCCCTTGGCTATTAACTGAACCCGAGCAATTCATTCGCTGCTGACTGAACCCGAGCGATTCCTTCGCTGCTGCTGCTAACTAAACTCGAGCGATCGATCACCGCTGCTGGTTACTGAAGCCGGTCAAGCCCCGTGCGAGACGTAGCCGGCTAGTGTTGGGTTTCCTCTCGACGAACAGTGACCGTTGCTACTGTGCACGCGGTACGTAGAATGAGTCGAGACATGGTGAGTCAAGCCGGTTGGTTGGCTGTGGATGAACAGTTCCCGGTGGGGGTTGGATGAATAGGACCCTGTGGTAGTAGGCCGTTGCCGCTGGATGAACAGGACATTGAGGAGGCCGCCGCACCCTAGCCGGTTGGGGGTCGATGAACAGGACCCCGTGTAGGCTGGATGAACAGTAGCCGATGGAGGCCGGATGAACAGTAGCCCGTGAATGAACAATAGCAGGTGGAGGCAGGAGGAAGTTGACGGTGGATGAACAGTAACCCGTGGAGGCTGGAGGGAGGCGGTAGACGGTGGATGAACAGGACCCCTTTTCGACCGTAGGTGCTCCAACATAAGTCTGTTTCCTCTGTTTTGCGGTACGCCACACCCTTCCTGATCAATGGGATCCCGTTTCGACCGTAGGCACTCGAACAGAAGTCTGTTTCCTCTGTTTTGCGGTATGCCATACCCTTCCTGATGAACAGGACCCCGTTTTGACCATACGTGGTCGAACATAAAGGTTGTTTCCTCCGTTTTGCGGTAAGCCAGACCTTGTTTTGGCTGTTTCATCCAAGATGGTTGTCTCCCGATGAACACGACGCCGTTGTTGCCGCCCGCTGCCTATCCATGTACACAAGCCCTGGTCGTACATATGCGCGAGTATGCGTTCGAGACCCCGCCCGTATGTACATGCGGAGCCGTATTTTTTGCGATCTGGCTGTACATACGTGTACATAGTTTAGAAGGGATTGCGTGAACAGCTACGTCGGGGGCTCTACTACTACACGTGTCGCTGCTTTCTCGGCCATGGTTCATTGTTGCAGAGAGTCCGATCGACCAGTATGTACGTACACATTCGCGACCAGACAGACAACCCTACGTACGGTTCGACCGGGTGGGTCCCAGCCGTCAGGGAGGATAAGGGGGCACTCCATTGCGTGTGAAGATATATGTGGTGGGTCCTAGCTGTCAGGGGGATGAATCATTTTTTGCGGGTAATAAGGATGCACTTCCTTGCGTGCGAAGATGTAGGTGGTGGGTCCAACAGTCAGCCTCACCGTGTACAATCATCTTCCGATGGCTGTCGTTCGTTGACAACGTTAACCACGCTGTGCCGAGAGCACCAAATCGATGGAACACGGCAAGGCCTGCTAAGGGAACAATGTGGAGCCAAGGAAGATGAGGAAGTGGATGTCCATGCGGAGGGGAGTACGAGGGTTCACTGGTTCCGCTGCGGTGTGAGGCCGCCGTCGCCGGAGAATAACACAGGGTGTGGGTGAGTAGAGGGAAGTCGTGGCCGGTGGTGGGATTAGGGTGGGGTCGTGAGGCCTGCGCGACAGCATTACTGCCCATGGGAGGCAGGAGCAGGCGGTTCCGCCGGTGCTGGTTTGGGCGGCTGGAGCAAGAAGATCAGAGGTTGAGGAAGCAGCACGGCTGTTAGATTAACATCCAATGGTCCAGCTGCTAGTTGACTAAGGTGACAAAGCCCTGCATACACGCCAGCTTAGTAGGCCCACAAGTTAGCCACAAAATCTGCCGGGTCCCAACTGTCATCTGGAGGAATTTTTTCGCATAATAAGGAGGCACTTCCTTCCGTGCGAAGATTTTTCCGGTGAGTCCCAGCTGTCAGCAAGAGCAATCATTTTTTTCGCGAAATAAGGAGGCACTTGCTTGTGTGGGTTCCTACTTTCAGCCTCTCCACTTACATCCCTCTTCCGATGGTTGTCATTTGTTGACCATGTTTACCACGTCGCGCCGAGAGCACCAATGTGGTGGACATGTAAAAATGAAACGTGGTGGACGATGGTGAGGCTTAGGAAGGGAATGATCGAGAGCCAGTGAAGCAGTGGATGCCCACACTAAGGGCAGTACGAGGGCTGACTGGTCGGTCGCGGGGGGAGGCTGCCGTCAGCGGAAAATATCAAGGTTGTACGGCTTTAGCTTCTGTTTGTCCCCTTCGATGGCTGCCCCACAGAAGTATATGTCCTCCTGAGACAAGAAATCATGAAGGTCACGTGGTATGGAAGGCGAGTGTATGATGTGGTACACCAAAACATCATCTTCGTGGCACAACTGAAGGACGGCGGCGCACTGGATCTTCCCAGGGGCACGCTTCGTGTACTCTGCGTCGAGACCGTTGACCCTCGTCTCTACCTTTTCGAGGGAGTTGGATACATTGTTGATCCACTACCGAACAACCCTTGGGTGGACGGTGACGGTGGCAACTATGCACATCGAGCCTTCGACGACGGCATGTTGGATGCTAAAAACCTGCATCTCGATCTCTTCCGCCATTTGGAAGTGCTGGAACGGCGGGCTATGGTTTGGAGAATTAGGATTAGATGGCTAGTATAACTGAAGTAGTAGATGATTATTTAAAGAGGTTAAAACAATGTGAACGTAGTGAGGTTTGGATGCAAATGAAGACGAAGGGGAGGTGAAGAAGCCGAGGAGAATCGGTTCCTGATGGAGAAGCAAATGGGAGAAGTGGCGTGCAGGCAGTTGATTAGACGGCTAGGTAGACTAAACGAAAAGGCTATGCGGGTAGACTGATGAGTCGTACCTATTCGTGTACGTGCCCATCCTTCCTGATAGGTGGGACCTATGCATGCAAACAGATAAAAAATGTCCGGGATACAGAACATGGATAACACTGTATATTTACTGTAGAATCTTTTTAGTACTTTGAATTTTGGCCACTACTTCTGTTGTTTAGTAACTTTTCTGAATTTTGGCCACTACTATAGTAAGTTCAAGTGAGTAACTATAGTAACTTCAAGTGAGTAACTCCATTTCTGATTTTTTTACATAAAACTAACCATGATATTTGTTCCTCTGTTCTGGTCATAATTATAATCTGATTGCTGAACCCTTAATCATTCTCATAATGTTTACATGATGCACAATTATACTACCGTCAAAACTACTCCATACACACACTGTCGAAATTGACAAGATGGTGGTGGAGGTGGGAATAAATGTTCAGTATTGGTGCATTTTCTGTGCTTACAAAATTTAGATTGAATTTCACTACCAAAAGAAAAGAAGTGGAGATTAAATGTTGCTTTCCACTTACTTCACCTATGTGTAACTCTTTTGGTGCATTTTCCGCAGAACCTATGTGTAGCTGCAACATACATGCCAGTTCATCAACTACTCGAAGAAGAAAAGAAGGTGGCATTTCCTTGCCTTTAGCATACATGCCAGTTCACTTAATGTCCTCTGGTGCTATATTTCTGAGAACATCCAAGTTTTTACTTATCACTT